CATGCAGAACTGTTTACACTGAAAAGATATTGGAAATCATCTACATGTTCAACAATAAGAAATAGATATGTAAATAACTATGTTCTTGCAAAGAAATATTACATAACCACTAAAAACTGATGTTGTTCAGTTGCTAAGTCATGTCTGACTCTTTGTGACACCATGGATGCAAAGAATGATGATCTAAACCATGTTTTTTGGAGTAGAAAGATATTAAGATACCTGGTTAAGTGAAAAAAACAGATTTCCTAGCAAAATTGATAGCATAATCTCATTTTTAATATATTATATATATTCTGGTGGGAGATGCTCTCTGTTTTACTTATCTTTATTTTCTACAAAGAACAAGTATTACTGACTTAATAAAAGAAAGTAATGGGAAAAAATGGTTGTATTCAGAAGATAAGCTGTGTGTTTAAAGGAAACAGGGAAAATTACTTGCGGGCAAAACAAAGTGTTGCCAATTCTAAAAAACTGTTGACAAGTTCAGTGTGCTCCCTTCGGAGGACAGCTCTTCTCTGGTCCTGCCCTTCCCAAAAGGCACCAATCTAGTTCTTCATGGCAAACTACGGAACCCACTGGAGCCAGTTTCAGCAAAGAGGGTTTGTTAAATGACATTGGGACTTCCACTTCTAGGAAGGTAGAGTTGTTGTACTTCTTATTCCTCCCACTAAGTACAAATAAAAATCATAGCCATTATATATTTAATAATCATAAGAAAATTAAAGAAGGCAGACAGGCTGGGAACTAAGGAACAGCATGGTGGGAAGTTTTCTGTTTTCTTTTTGTCTCATATACCTGAGAATGGGAACTGAAGAAACCTGTAACCAAGAAATGTAAATAACCAGGGACATAAATAAGCTGTAATAAAAACCTATTCTCTGTAGCCAAGAGCCAGGAAAGGATGGCAGGATAAAAAAACTTTTAGACAATAATTGCTCTATTCCAGTCAAACATAACCAAAAAAAGGAAAATGGTGCCTACTCACAGCCAAGCCAGCAAAGGCAAAAATGAGGAACCTACACTTCCACCTTCTCCAGGCTGTGAGGGTCCCAACACTTCTGCCCACGCGGTGTCAGAGAAGCCCGAGTAAGGATTTGGGGTCTTCATCCTACCAAATGGTAGCAAGCACCTGACTCACCAGGTAGGTATCAGTGGAGCCATCATGGTGAGTGTGAACCTCCACCTCCACCTACAATTATCAATCCACCCTGTCCCCTCCCCACCGGGGTGGTATCAGAGGAGGCCTAGGGAAGAGTCGATAATCAGGTCACCTCCCTTCACTGTGACATCAATGGAGGATGGGTGGTAAGAAGTAACAAGGCATTCCTACCCCTCCCAGCCAGGGTGGTATCAGCGAAGGCCTAGTAGGGAACCAGAACTCCCACCTCCGCCCTAATACTGAGAAATCCCTACCCCACTCAGGCGTCAACAGAGGCCAAGCGGGGGCTTGGATTTCTACTCCCCACTGGCAGGAGCAGCCTTCCTCTAACAGAGAAGAGTCCAAAAATGTCAGTACAATAGAAGATGCGAATAGGATCCAGAGTATCATAACATTTTAACAAAAAAATATCCAGCTTCAAAAGACTATAACTCTTCATCCTAAGAACCAAGAAAATTTCAACTTGAATGTACAATCAATAAAGCCCAGCACCAAAATAAGAGAGAAATTAGAATTAGCTAATGAGTGTCTTCGAGCAGATATCATACACACAATTCAGTGTAAAATTGTGGACATGCCTGAAACAATTGGGAAAAAGGAAGTTTCATCAAAGAATTGGAAAGTTTCAGCAAATAAATAGAAGATATTAGAAAGAACCAAATGGAATTTCAGAACTGAAAAATATAGTAACTGATGTTAAAAGCTCAGTGGATAAGCTCAACAGTGGAATGGAGGGAACAACAAAAAGAACCAGTAAACTTGAAGACAGAATGATAGAAATAACCCAGCATGAAAAACAGAAAGAAATAGATGAGAATGAGAAAATAAATAGAGCCCCAGGGGCCTGTGGAACAAAAATCTAATATCCCTGTCTTCAGAGTCCCAGAAGCAGAGGAGACAGGGGCAGGATTGGAAAAGCATTCAAAGAGATAATGGCTGAAAATCTCCCAAATTTTCGAAAGACATAAACCGCAGATTCAAGAAGCTGAGCAGCAAGCCCCAACCAGAATAAACCCCAAAAATGATATTCCAGGCATATCATAGTTCAACTTCTGAAAACTAAAGGCAAATTTAAAAATATTTAAAGCAGCTAAAGAGAAACAACACCCTGCCAATAAAAGGAAAAACCATTTATATCACAGTGGATTTCTCATCAGAAACTGTAGACAGCAGAAGGGAGTGGCACCATATTATTAAAGTGTGGAAAGGAAAGATCTGTCCAGTCAGAATCTAGCAGAAATATCCTTCAGGACTGAATGAGAAATCAAGACACTCTCAGGTGAAGGACACTAAGAGAATCTGTCACTGGCAGACCTATCCAAAACTAATGGCTGAAAGTTCTCTAAACAGAAAGAAAATGACAGAAGAAGGAATCCTGAGACATTAGGAAGGAAGAAAGAACATTGGAAGAGCAAAATTGGGGGCTAAATACAACAGTCCTTCTGCCCTTCAGTTTTTTTAAATTATGCTTGCTGGTGGAAGCAAAAATTACAACATTATCTGATGTGGTCCTAAATGTATCTGGAGGAAATATACAAGGCAATTGTTTTATGTCAGTCAGTCAGTCAGTTCAGTTGCTCAGTCATGTCCGACTCTTTGCAACCCCATGAATCGCAGCACACCAGGCCTCCCTGTCCATCACAAACTCCCGGAGTTTACTCAAACTCATGCCCATCGAGTCGGTGATGCCATCCAGCCATCTCATCCTCTGTCATCCCCTTCTCCTCCTGCCCGCAATCCCTCCCAGCATCACGGTCTTTTCCAATGAGTCAACTCTTCGCATGAGGTGGCCAAAGTATTGGAGTTTCAGTTTCAGCATCAGTCCTTCCAGTGAACATCCAGGACTTATCTCCTTTAGGATGGACTGGTTGGATCTCCTTGTAGTCCAAGGGACTCTCAAGGATCTTTTCCAACACCATAGTTCAAAAGCATCAATTTTTTGGCACTCAGCTTTCTTCACAGTCCAACTCTCACATCCATACATGACCACTGGAAAAAACCATAGCCTTGACCAGACAGACCTTTGTTGGCAAAGTAATGTCTGCTTTTTAATATACTATCTAGGTTGGTCATAACTTTCCTTCCAAGGAGTAAGCATCTTTTAATTTCATTTGAACTGATGAATGTCAATATCAGTAGACTGTGATGTTATGTATATATAATATAATATCTAGAACAGCCACTAAATAAGCTATCAAACAGACATAGTTGAAAACATGACAGGTAAGTCAAAATGCAATTCTAAAAAAAAATATTCAGGTAACCCTCAGGAAGGCAAATAAAACAGAGAAATAAACAAAAAACAGAACTAACAGAAAAGAAGAAACAAATTGGTATACTTAAAGATTATGATACCCAAAACTACACTAAGTATAAAGGATCTAAAATATAGAGATTAAACAAGAAAAATCATCAGAGTGAATTTTAAAACATGGCTCAACTATATGCTATGTTACTTCAAATACAATCATATAGGTAGGTTGAAAGTCAAAAAAGATGGGAGAGGATATGTCAGGCAAACTTTAATCAAAAGAAAGCAGGTGGCTATATTAAAATCTGATGAAGTAAACTTCGGCAAAGAAAATTACCAGAGGCAGTGAGGAACATTACACAGTGATTTAAAAAGTGTCAGTTCAAAAGAAAGACACAGCAGTCCTGAAAGGGTATGTACCAAGCAACAGTGCAAAATATATGAAGCAAATTACTGATAAAACTTGAAAGGAGAACTAGACAAATCCACAACTGTAGTTGGAAACGTCAGCACCACCCCCCTCAACAACGAATAGAACTAGTGGACAGAATATCAACAATATAGACAAACCCAACAACACTATTAACTGAGGAAATCTAACCAACATTCAGAGAACACTACCCCCCCTCAATAGCAGAATGCATATTCAAGCACTCACAGAACAAATATTAAGAGAGACCATGTCCTGGGTCATTAACAAATTTAAAGGACATTGAGGAGGCCACAAATCTCCTGGAGGGAGGCTCAGAGAATCAGACTTAGAAGCTCTGCCACCAAGAAAAACAAGAACACCACTCCGGGCCCTCGGTAGCCTGCCTCTTCACTCTGCCACATACCCGGCCACAGGCGACTCGGCCAGGACCCCAACCATTGCTGCCCCTGAAAATAGATCCTTGGCGCTTCCATCTTCCTCATATGATCCCCTTCAAGACCAGCGTCTACTGTGGGGGTGTCTTACTGAAGGCGCCTAAGTCATGACAACCCGTTCAGTTGCAAAGGGGAGGCATGGGAAGATTAAGAAAGCAGGCATCTAGCTCCTGCATTGCGGAATTAAGACTCAGAAGGATGAGCCAGCCTAAGAAAGGAAGCCAAAAAAAGCTAGATGCCAAACAAGGGATATGCCCCCCACAGAATGGATGGCACCCAGAGGCCTCTCCTAGCAGCCGTACCCCACCCTCTGCTCCTGGCCCAGAGTCTTGGCTCTCCTGGAGGACTTAGCTGCTTCTCCAGCCTCCCTCATACACACCCCTAGATCCGGACTCCATTTCTCACACATGAGAACTCTTGGGTGGAATAAGTCACCAGTTAAAATGAACTCATTGCAAACTTCACATTATCTCATTCTCCAATCTTGCTTTAGTGAATTCTTATCTTCAGGTCGGGGTTGTTTTTCACTAGAAATGAATCAAATTCAGGCACAGGACCAGCTATCTGTCAGGAGGAGCAGGTAAGGGCAGAACACACGCGTATACACACACATTCACTCATGACAGAGCTGTTCCTGTCAAGCCTCAAGAGACAAGTGACTCACTGACACTCTGCTTACACTCTGCCCCAGACATGCTGCACCAGACTCCCCGGTCTCAGGTTTAAGAGATCACAGGCGCACGGTGTGGGCGCGGAGAAAACAGCAGTCAGCCTCACTCCCCTTCTCACCCAAATCATCCAAGTTCTCACCCATCCTGAAGTTTTCAGGCTCAGGACGAACAAAGGAAAGGTAGGTAAGGAGAGAAGTGGGAGGTTACATGGATAGTGTCTAAGAATTTCAGTGTCAGGCTGACCTGGGCTCAAATCCTAGCTTGGCCACTTCTGACTGTGTGCCTTTGAGCAGATTAATCTCTGCACACTCAGATTGTTCAACCGTAAAAACAGGATAATCACGCCTTCCTCTCGAAATTGTTAAGAGGATTAAAATGAGATGCTTTTCATAAAGTGTTTGGCACACAGTATGTGCTCAATAAATCACTGCTGCTCATATTATTATTTAGGCAGAGTTTTTGTTGTAGTCTGTTTTTAAGCAGAGACTACTGAACACAGAAAAAATGCTACTCTGTTTGCACCTTTGTAAAAGTGGATGCACCTAGAGGTTATCATAGTAAGTGAAGTCAACCAAACAGAGAAAAACAAATATATGGCATTGCTTATATACAGACTCTAAAAAAGTGATACAGATGAACTTATTTGCAGAACAGAAATAGACTCACAGACATAGAAAACACACTTAAGGCTGCCAACAAGGACAGCAGGAGGTGGGGTGGGGATAAATTAGGAGTTTATACTTAACATGTATGCCCTATGTAGTATAAGGTAGGCAAACAAGGTCTTACTGTGTAGCATAGGGAGCTAGTCTCATTATTTTATAATAAGCTATAAGGGTAATGAATCTAAAAAAACATAGTTATGTGTGTATGCATAACTGACTTACTTTGCTATACAACTGAAACTAATGCAAAATTGAAAATCAACTATACTTCACTAAAATTTTTTTAAAATAAAAAAAAAGTTTTTATGTGAAAGGATTGAATTAAAGAAAAATCCAGAGTATCCCTTCCCTGAAATAGAAACCCCAGGTGGGTAGTCATACTGTGACACAGAATGGAGCCCTGTGCCTGAACACTGACCCCCAGGGCCAGAGTGGGCTGGTGGTCTTGGTTGGCTGGAGACACCCAAAGGTTCACCAGCCACCTAAGGCACGATTTGGACCTGGATCCAAGGTCTGGGGACACAGGGGTGACCTGCAGAGAAGGGTGTGGCCTGAAACAAGACAAGAAAGCACAGGAGACCCACTTCCTATAAACGGAGCTCCCCCTCATTGAAGGAAGGTGGGACAGGGCTTGGGAGACCTGAGTGCCCCACCGAGTAAGCGAGTCAGGGCCAAGTTAAATAAACACCAAGTCCATGGAAGCCTACACGCAGAAAAAAGTAAGAGCCGTTTCAAATTTGCTCTGAAACTCCACCCACCAGGAATGACTGTTTCCCCAAAACGAAGTAAAGAGAAAGCATTTCCCAGAGAACATCCCCTCATTGGAACACTTCTCAAGGCAGCTGCCAATCAGAAGTCAGGTCATCCATAGCATCTGCTTCCAGAAAGTTCTGCCAAGTGGTATCTGGGCCCAAGTGCACGGTTCAAATCCCAGCTCCACAGTGACTAGCTGTGTGACCCTAGGCATGTTGCTGAACTGATCTGAGCCAGTTTCCCATCTGCGAAAACAGGGAGCGTAATAAGTCAACCATATAGGAATGTCGTGAGGATCAAATGAGATAAGGTCTGGTGAGTTCTTGCAACAGTGTCCAGAACGTATTAAACCCTTGGAACATAATGTTAGTTGTAATTATTGTTAATATTGTGTCAGTGTCACTCTCCTCCCATCATGGTGCCTAGGAAACCGCCCTCTCTGATTATTGGAGGACCTAGGAAATAAGGACGAAATCCACAAGGAAGTGAAAGAATGAGCTGAAAACACACGGATGACCTCATTTCTCAGAGTCACCGGGACACATTCGGGAAGGTTCAAGCAAAAGCAAAACAGTAGTTGCCTCTGAAGCTGGGCTTACCTGATGGCTCAGACGGTAAAGAATCTGCCTGAAAACACAGAAGACCCTGGTTCGATCCCTGGGTTGGGAAGATCCTCTGGAGAAGGAAATGGCGACCCACTCCAACATTCATGCCTGGAGAATTCCATAGACGGGGGAACCTGGTGGGCTACAGTCTATGGGGTCACAAAGAGTTGGACATGACTGAGCAACTAACACTTCCAGACTCAAGCCTGACAGACCTTGGTTCAAAGTCCAGCTTCAACACTTAACTCTATAACATTGGGAATGTTGCTTAATTTCCCTGAGCTTCTGAATCCTTGCTTCCAAAATAGGTATGAAAATCCATAAGACCTCCCTTGAAAATTATTCCTGGGAACTAAATAATGCACAAATGTACCCAAAGAGAATTTGCACAATGCCTAGCACATAGCTGGTGCCAGCAAAAAATGGTTCCTTTTCCCTTGCTCCCTGTAGAAAACTGCAGCTTTTGGCTTAAATGGCATGGCTGTGAATACAACCTCCAAAGTAATTTTTCTAAAGCCTTCCCTATTCTCCAGGTCATCTCTTCTCTCCTCCCATCTGAATTACTAAGCAACATCTGGTAAATCAGCTAACCCACTATTGATGGCTTACCATCTAGCTTCTTTGATAGCTGTGTGACACGGGACATGTTTTTTCATTTCTCTGGGCTTCGATATCCTCATTATAAACTAGAGATAAAAATCTACAACAGCTAGTTTGCTGATTTAATTCTATTTGGGTTCAATTACACATTATGTACAAAAGGCCCTTAACTTTTGCACAGAGAGGTGAAGTCCAGCACTTGGCCCATCCGTGCAGGTACCCACATTTTACATCCATTATGTCATTTCATCCTCAAAATAATCCTATATCCCTTGTATTTCAGCCTGAAAGTAAAGATCAGAGAGGTTATGCCACTAACCCAAAGTCACAGGGCTAGCTACCTTTAAGTGGTGGTCTTCAGACTCAGGCTTTTAGTCAGTCACAAAGAGGAAAGGGCTTGGCTGCCCCCTGTGGAGAGCAACTCCAGGAGACCACAACGCAGGCTGGGAAGCTTGGTCACAGCTCTCTCCCCACCATGGAGAGGGCGGTCCCTTGGTCTCAGGGAGCCCCACACAAGGAGGGGTCCCTGTTTCTCCAGCCGTCAGTGAACATGGTTCATGTTCGGAAGCCAGGTGCCTGCCAGTTTCACGAGGAGATTGCTGGCAGCCCCCGCGGTCTCTGTTACTAGAGACTGAATTGCCGGTGAAAGAAGCCCATTGTGTGTCCTCTGAATGAAGAATACCCCATTTAGAGAAAGAATTCAACTGGTTTTTCACAGAGAAAGAAGACAGACAGGCCTGGTGAACAGAGAGAACAATATCCATCATTCACCAGATTTTTACTTAACATCAAAGCCAGGTGACCAACCAGGTGAAAGGCCACCCAGGGCCACACAGCGTGGAGCCCACTGGGGCCACCTTGGCGTTCGAGGAGAAGGATCAGTGGTTGAGAAGAACGAACACGGAGGCCCAGGCCCGGCTCCCTCGCTGTGCGCCTTGGCCAGCTTAACTCCTGGCGCCTCCTAGATGATTCGTGGGGAGAGTGCTGACCCCAAGCTCTGCCGTACTGGTTCAGTGCTAAGACTTGAGTGCCCTGGATGGTCTTCATGCATCTGGTTCTCAAGTATGACTGCACGCTGAAATCACCTGGAGAGGTTTTAAAACTACTGATACTTGGTCCTGCTGCCAGAAGATTCTGATTTTTTGGTACAAGGCATTGCCCAGGTGCTGGGAATTTTTCAAAGCTCCCCAGGGTGGTTTTAAAGTACAGCCAAAATTGAGAACCAGTGAGCCCCGGGGCAGAAACTGTTTTGTCCACAGTTGTATCTGGAGCTGAGCACAGGGCCTGCTGTACTCTCGGTGCCCAATAAATATTTGTGGAATGAATGAGTGCATGGACTGCTCCAAGACATTTGAGAGAAGTCATCCAGTCCCAGCGTCAATGATGGTAGCTCTGTGTTTATCACTCTATCATCTATTGGGATTTGGCACAAGCTTTCTTTAACAAAAAAAGAAAAAGTTTCTTTGCTTAAAAAAAAAAGCCCACTGGACCATAAAATCGCTGAGATTCTTTCCAACTCCAAAGCACACCGATTCCAAGACCATAAATCCCTTCTTGCCCTTTGAGAGCAGTCATGTTTTTCAGATAAATTATCAGGGCGAGCAAGTCCTGGGCAGGGTCCCTCTGAAGACTGGTCTGCTGAAGCCGAAGACTTTTGTCTCCCATGCTGACCCCTTCCTCAGTGGGCCCCCTGGGGGTCCACGTGCCCCCGCATTCCATTCTTATTTTTCTCTCACTTTAAGTTCCTTCTCTGAGTGAACTCAGCCACTCCCAAAGCTTTAACTCTCATTTATAAATTGGTGACTCCAAATCAGTATCTCGAGCCCTGCCCTGTCATTCTGAGTTCCAGACTCGGCCATCCAAGTGGCTACTGAGTATCGCCACCTTGATTCCCTTAGGCACTTCAATTTCAAGCTGTCCCAGAAGTGAACTCATTACCTTCCCCACCCAAACCTGCTCCTCCTCCTGCCTCCCCTATCTTGATGAACAGCATCACCTCCACCCGGTTACCCAAACCAGGAAACTGGAATCATCTTCGACCTCTCCCTCTCTCTTGCCAGGATCACGCCCCACCCCCGGAATTTTGTCTCTAAAGCAGCCATTGACTTTACCTTTCTATTAGAAAGGTAAATTAGAAATCCTTCTAATTTCTTTATCTTCCGCAGCACTTCCAGAGTATCTTTCTAAAATCCAGATCCAAAATGTCACTAGGAATAAAGGTCTGGTTAGCGAGGCAGACACACTAGGAAGTCTACATCACGGAGACGGCCACATTCCAGTTTTTCCCCATCATCTCCCTCTCACCCATACATCCTGAGCACGTTGGCTGACCTGAGACACTAATTAATATAACACATTTGCTGGGACTCCCCTGGCAGTCCAGTGGTTAACACTTCACGCTTCCAAAGCCAGCGGTGCAAGTTCAATCCCTGGCCAGAGGGCTAAGATCCCACCTGCTGCATAGCATAGTCAAAAAAACCACGTGTGGTGCCTCTCCTTTATGCTAGGTCCAGACCAGGGGCCTGAATGTATGTCTCTCCCTCCTCGCCTTGCTCTCCCC